TTTCCATTAAGGAAAGCGGTTTTCACGTCCATTTTCCATATTTCATAATCATGAAATGCAGCTATGGCAAGCATTACCCTAATAGAATTTATCTTCGCAACTAGTGAGAAGGTCTCATCATAGTCAACTCCGGGAGTTTGAGTAAAGCCCTTCGCAACCAATTGTGCTTTATAAGTATGCACTTTCCCATCCATGTCCGTCTTCTTCTTGAAGATCCACTTGCACCCGACTGTCTTACGACCCGGTACATTATCATCCAAATTCCAAACTTGGTTGTCGTACATGGACTGAATCTCGTTGTCCATCGCCTCCTTCCATTTAGCAGACTCCGGGCCTGCCATGGCTTCCTTCTAGCTGTTAGGTTCATCCAAATTCACTAGTGTACTATCACTAATAAATGTATCCCCTTTAGTAGTGATATGAAAACCATACAACTGGGGTGGAACACTAGCCCTAGTGGAACGTCGAAGAGGTAAGGACTCGTCAATAGGTTCAACAGGAGTTTCCTCCTCAAGTTGAGTGCCAGTGTCAGAGGTTCCTTCATCATTTTGATCTTGAGTCTCTTCAAGTTCAATTTGCCTCCCACTGCCTTCTTGGCTTATCAATTCCCTTTCTCGGAAAACTCCTCTTCTAGTAAAGAAGAAAAAATTGTCACTCGGTCTATAGAAAAGGTAGCCAAAAGACTTATGTGGATAGCCGATGAAATAACACTTCTTACTGCGAGGTTCTAGCTTGTTGTGAGTCTCTCGTCTTACGAAAGCCTCGCAACCCCAAACCTTGATATGTGCCAACGAGGGAGCCTTCCTTGTCCATATCTCGTGAGGAGTCTTGGAAACCTTCTTGGTGGGAACTAAGTTAAGTATATGGGCGGCAGTCTCTAAGGCATACCCCCAGAAAGCTATTGGTAATGAAGTCTAACTCATCATAGAACGAACCATGTCCAACAAGGTCCAATTACGTCTCTCAGCTACACCATTCAATTGTGGCATCCTTGGAGGCGTCAATTGCGAAACGATTCCGCATTCTTTTAGATAGTCGTGAAACTCAAGACTTAGGTACTCCCCTCCTCGGTCTGACCGAAGCATCTTGATTTTCCTGCCCAGCTGATTCTCCACTTCATTCTTAAACTCTTTGAACTTTTCAAAGGTTTCCGACTTTTGCTTGATCAACTAGATATATCCATATCTGCTATAATCATCTATATAAGTCACGTAGAAGCGGCAATCATCCCTTGTGGTGGATCTAATAGGCCCGCATACATCGGTGTGTATGAGATCCAATAAACCCTCACCCCTTTCACAAGTGCCAGTAAAGGGTGACTTGGTTATCTTCCCAAGTAAACAAGATTCACACGTGTCATCGTCCTAAGGTCGAATGAATCCAACACTCCATCCTTTTGGAGTTGGGCTAAGCATTTCTTGTTGACATGGCCAAGGCGACAATGCCATAAGCATGCTTTGTCTAGACTAGTACACGAATCAATATTCAAAACATTATTTCCTAAATTATCAACAATCATCACAAATTCATAAATTCCATTACAAGGTAATGCATTGAAATAAAAGACACCATTCAATTAAATGTTAATAGAACCATTACTATTATCAAAAGAATATCTGAAACCTTGTCTAAACAACCCGTGAAAGGAAATAATGTTTCTTGCCATATCTGGCGAATAACAACAATTCTCTAAATCTATCCCTAACCCATTACTTAACACTAAAGAATAAACACCGACTTTGGTCACAGGCGACGATCTTCTGTTTCCCATAATCAGGTTCATCTTCCCATGTTCCATCTCCCTACTTCTTTTTAGGCCCTGCATATCAGAACAAATGTGGTAACCACACCCAGTATCAAGAACCCATGAAGTAGCAAATGATGAGTTTTTAGATTTAATAGAATACATACATGTAAAGGTGGGCTTGATCTTCCCATCTCTTATGTCCTGCAGATATTGTGGGCAGCTTCGCTTCCAGTGGCAATAGAAGCACTCTGCTTCTTTTGGATCGGAAGAGGGTTTAGCCGGGCCTGCTTTGGTCCCACTTGAGGATGAACCATCACGAGGTTTCCCCTTATGGTGGCTCTTACATGGAGCCTTCCTCTTTTTTCCCTTTCTTTGACCTATCGCCATCACAGGAGCGGCCACAGCAGGGGACGGTGCAACGGATTTGTCTTTGAGGTTGCTCTCAGCAGTCCTTAAGAGTCCTTGGAGCTTGCTCAAGGAGACCTCCTCTTTGTTCATATGGTAGGTCATCCTAAATTGATTGTAGCAGGAGGGAAAGGAGTGGAGGATTATGTCGATGGCCAAATCCTCATCAAACTTAACATTAAGTTTGAGAAGACGATCAACATACCTCTGCATTTTCTGCAAATGAGAGGTTGGGGATTCTCCACTCCCCATCTTAGTGGTGATCATGTTAGTAATGATCTCATAGCGCTCTTGCCTCGTGCTCTGGTGATACCTGTCCAGCAAATCCTGATGCATTTCATATGGATACATGTCCTCATAGGACTTTTGAAGTTCGAGGTTCATGGTGGCCAGCATGATGCAGCAAACTTTCGTGGCATCACGCTCATGGGCCTCAAAGGCAGCCAATTCTTCAGGAGTAGCAACATCTGGGATGATCTTCTCAAGCTTTTCATCGAGGACATATTCTTTGTCCTCGTAGCGTGTGATCATGCGAATATACCTCATCCACTCGTTGAAATTTGAACCATCAAATGTCACTTTCTGACACAAGTTAATCAACGAGAATGACCCAGAAGCGTTGTTGTTGTTGTTTGCAGACATCTGAAAAAGAAAGGAACAAAGTTTGATTAGAAATGAATCCCTAATTAAACACCCAAATGAGAAATTAGGGCTAAGATCCAACAACATTATTTACAACTTAGAAAGGGATGTCGTACTATAAAAGTAAATAATTTGAAGGCAAGTGAATGACGATTCACTAATTCTCACCATAAAAAACGAAAAAGCAATTTAGGTTTTAAATGTATTGAAAACTCCTAGATCTTTGAGATTCATTGAACTTTTCAATAGCATGTTTAAATCTCGATATGCATTTCAAATTTGCGATTGGGATGCCGAGGATCACAAACAAATTTGTGAATAACCATGCGAACCAACGTGGTGCACTCAATGTCTTTATCACCTAATCAATGTGCCGGTAAACCATACATGCTCCATTGATCTATGACAAACATCGAGTTACCCTTCGCTACCAATGTCATCCCCAAATTGATGTGCTGGTTAACCACACGCGCTCCATCAACGTTTGACAAGGGTACGAAGTGTAATTCCATGGATTAGCATCATTTTCACATTTTACCCTAAAGTAACTAGGAATGGGAATTTACAAAACATGTAGTTACTTTATATTTAACATTATACTTTTAATGAGGAGAGGGTTGCCCTATCCTACCCGTTCGGCTAACGACCCTCCACCAGTCAAGCAAGCGGTAGGTGTGAGTGTACACCCATTAAGCGCCATTTTATAGGCAGCAACCTTATACCCACCTTATAGACAAGCTTCGTGAATGAGGCCTACTAACGGTAAGACTAGCCTTTTAAGTTATATATATATATATATATATATATATATATATATATATATATATATATATATATATATTAATTAAACTTGTAATAATATATAATAGTATAGGGTTGAATTTTAAACTTGTAAAATTCTAAGGGTTTGAAATTTAAATTACTCAAAATTAAACTTTTAATCATAAATTTAAATTTCAAGACTTGAGGGCAAGAATTGAACTTTTCAAAACACAAGGGATCAAATAACAAATAATTCAAATTAACCAGTTAATTTCATAATTATCTATATTTGACCTAATCTTAATTTTAGTTATTAGATAATTACCAAATAATTTTAAATAATCCATATTTGTCATATAAACAACTAATATTAAAAGATTTGAAATTATCTACTGTTTTGGCAAGGATAATCACTTAATTAAGATAAAATTCGGATTTTAACTTCATAAAACAATTTAAGCATCAAATCCAAGTCAAAACAGCAGCTAAAACCCGAAATACCCTCTACTTGATGCACCGACTCGCCGAGTCAGACCTAGACTCGAGTAGGGGCCAACTCGCCGAGTCCAGATACTGACTCGCCGAGTTGAGTCGGGAAAGGGCCAAAAACTCGAATTTTAGCAAATAAAGCAATTAAGCATCACATACAACTGAAACCAACTAGGCTCTGATACCACTGATGGGTTTTATGCATAAGAAACACTCCTATGTGCTCATACAAACCCTAATGCTTGGATCTAGGTTTCACTATTGAACATGCTTTGATTCTAAGACTTACAAACCCTAATCTAGCATATAAACAACAAAAATTACATATAGAATCAGATCTAGATGTTTACCTCTTCAATTGTTGGCTTAGATCTTCTCTTGAGCTTAGAGTCACAAATGCAACTCCTCTAATGGTTCACAAACCCCACAAGAAAGAAGGCAATATGAGAGATGGAGAGAAAGGCTAGAAATCGGCCTAGGGATCTCTTAGAATTAAGTGGTAGCCAAATTCAATGCCCTAGGGGTCATATTTATACTTACAGGTTACTAGGGTTTCAATCTAAACCCTAATGGACAGATTAGCCACCAAGCAGCCCATGGAACCTTCTGGAATAAGGCCTTGGACGAAAAATATGATGGATACCCATCATAATTTCGTTCCCCCTTAAGCCCATTAGGTTTCCTTAACCCAAAACTCAACTATCATACATTTGATAGTTTATACCCCTTTATTCAATTAATCTCTTTTGATCACCAAATTAATTCCTAATTAATTTATGACCAATACTAATTAAATAAATATGATTTTTCCTTTAATATATTATTCTTATAACATATTAATAAATCATAATACTCTCTCTTTCTCCTTAAATTACCTTGTCAAGTTGCTTTGGAGAAGGCAACCCAAAAGGACCATGCATAACCGGGCCTGTACATATCAAATATAGTTACGGGCTTAGACACTATTCCAACAGCTTGGGCCATCAGCAGTGCTATTCTTCGGCGTTGTGTGCCTGAGCGAGGGTATCCCATTTAACGGTGGTGTTATGAGTGTCATTTGTCGTTGCTTTTTTGTGGTGTGTATGGGTGGTGGTAAGAAGCTGTAACCGATGTTGTTTAATCCGCCAGTGTTGGGAAAAAATAGCGGTATAGGAGGTGAAATGGGACGATTGGGTCCACCATCGTTGGGGAATAACGGTGGGGTTACGCTATTTAGTGTGAGTATTGGTATGTGGGTTGTGACAGAAGGCACAACTGTTGCAACGGAAGGTAGCGAGCCACCGGATGGTGGTGCCTCAGAAGCCGCGCCGGTCGTGTGAGGTGGTGGTGTTATGGGGGTGTTCACCGTCTCTAATGAGACCATTGGGCGTATCGAGCTATGTGGTGTTTTTCGATGGCTTGCCGACGTCCTCGTCCGTCGTTTGTAGCTGGGTTAAAGAGGGAAAAATGGGTTTGCGTATCTGTTGTCACACAAGCCGATGGCACCAAATGATGCGACCCAGGCTCCGACCACCTTGAGGGTGAAAGTTGTGCTCATCGTAGGGAAACATGAAAGGTCACAAAGAGAGTAAGTCATCAGTTGTTCTCTGAGAAAAGGTCCCAACAAAACACTCCGACGGTCAAGTTAGTTGTGTATTGGAGAGAAGAGGCTGAGAATCGGGAGAGATAGCTTACCTCTCAAGGTGGAATGGTGGTCATTTTATACTGAGGATCCTCCGTAGTCCGTACGAGGAACACAGACTATGATCCCGACAAGATTTGCTCTCCTTATTGGTGAGTTGTATTCCTCGGTGTGTTAGGTCCAACGATTGGTCCGGGTGATAATGCTCTGGATTTGCTGCTTGTTGCATGGAGTCGTTATCCTTGGACTGTCGTGGCAGGCGGCCTTTGGTGGGAATGGGTCTTCCACACGGTCGTCTTGCTAGGACGCCTGGCAGCTGGGGGTTCTACTAGGGCGCCTAGCAGCTGGGACGGCCAAGCTAGGCCTGGCCGGGCCTCGCTGGGGATTCTCAGCTGGAGGTTCTTTTTGTGGGTTCTCTTGTTCTCGGCCAACTCTGAGGGGCGTGTCATCAAGTCCCCCAGTCCAGTAGTCATAGCGTTTGCTAGCTAGCTATGATGTTCTGAACTTAACTGTTGGTCTACTTGTCGCGCCCTTGTTTGGTCATCGCTTCATTTTCGGTGATGTGACTGTTCCACGTGTGTTGCGGTACGTCAGTCGTGTCAGGGATTTTCGAAAATCCCGCTCTTTCCCACCTATAACTTGCAGAAAAGGTTTCCCTGATCTTTTATCTCTTTCTTTTGTTTCTTCTTCCTTCTTTTCTTTTCCGATATCTCATTTATGGGTTCCTTAATAGGTTTGGTCCCCAGTTCTTCCGAGTTTTCCACTCTTCAGGAGGTTTACGACCTTACTCCGGTCGGCAAAGTAGAGTTCCCGATAGCTGGGGCTGTGATTACTTTGCTGCCAGAGTCCAGAAATGGGTCTATTAAGTTTTCACACTTTATTTGAATACTTGGATTATACAAAACCTTCTGATTGAGACATGTAAACCTCCACAGTTAGTTTCTAGTTAATGAAAGTGGTCTTTACATCCATTTGAAATATTTCATGGTCATGGTAAGCGGCTATTGCAAGTAGTATCCTAATAGATTTCATCATTGCCACTCGTGAGAAAGTTCTTCATACTCAATTCTTTGAGTCTGAGCAAAACCTTTCACAACCATTTGAGTTTTGAACGTGTGTACATTCCCATCCATGTCGGTCTTTTTCTTGAAGACCCATTTACTCCCAAGGTTTTTAGTTTCAGGAGTAGGATCAACCAAATTCCAAACTTGGTTTTATCATACATGGATTGAATCTCGCTTTTCATCACCTCTTTCCACTTTGTAGTCTCTGCGCTCACCATGGCTTCCTGATAATTGTGCAACTAATCATTACCTAACAAGTTGTCGTCTTCCTTTGTAATATGGAAACCATATAATGCGGGTTGATGATGCTCTTTATAGATCTTTGAGGTTGAGTTGGAATAATATTTTTAGATTCCTCAACAGGTTCTTCAACTTCTTGTTGAGGGCTAGTGCTAACTTCAGGTTCTTCATTGGTTGACTCTTGAATCTCATCAAGATTAATCTCGCTCCCACTAGCTCCTTAAGATATCAACTTACTCTCTCAGAAGACTACCTTACAAGCAATAATGACTTTTTTCTCATTAGGTTTGTGAAACAAGTATGTAAAGGAATCTTTGGGCATATCGATAAAGTAACACCTTTCAGATACGATTTCAAGTTTATAGAGCGCTTCTCGAAGAATGAAAGCATCACAATCGAGGCCTCGATTCGTGCAAGAGAGTGACGAGTACATTTCCACATCTTAAATGGTGTCTTAGGGACCTCTTTAGTTGGTACTAGGTTTAGAATGTAAGCGGCTTTTTCTACGGAATAACCCTAGAAGTATATTGGAAGTGTAGCATGAGTCATCATAGATCGAACCATGCCCAACAAGGGTTGATTTCTCCTTTTAGACACATTATGGTGTTGTGGTGTTCTTGGTGGAGTAAGTTGTGAAACTATTCTACAACTTCTAAGATGATCGTATAGTTTATCACTAAGATACTCTCTGTTTTTATCTGATCGGAGTATCTTGATTTTCTTTCCCATATGGTTTTCTAGTTCTTGTTGGAATGTCTTGAACACCTCGAAGTTTTCAGACTTATGTCTATTTAAATAGACATATCAATGTCTACTGAAATAGTAACTTCAACAAAGTATTTTTCACCTTGTCATGTGGCATATCTAAATGGTCCGCATACGTCTGTGTATGAGGTCCACAAATCTTTTCCTCTTTCATAGTCACCTATGAATGGTGTATTTGTCATCTTGCCAAGTAAGAAATATTTGCGTGCATCATCTAACTCCAAGTTAAATGATTCCAAGATCCCATCCTACTGGAGCTTGGTGATGCGCTTCTTTTTTATATGGCTATCTCAAAAATGTCATAGATACGATTTATCCAAAAAATCCTTGGATAAACCAACCTTTAATATTAAGCTATCATTTTTCTTTATCCATATAACAATTTCATAAATGTCATTGTTCATATTTTCTTTAAAGTAAAGAGCATCATTCTTGTAAACCAAAATGCAACTATTATTATATCAAACCCAAAAGTGAATCTGTCACGATACAATGCATGAAAGCAAATAATATTTCTTTCCATTAAAGGCGAATAACAATAATCTATTAAACTAATTAAAAAACCAGAAGACAAAACAAGCTTGTAATACCGAATCGTATTAATAACTACTTTGCTCTTGTTTCCCATGATCAAGTCGAGTTTGTCACGCCTGAGTTTTTCCTACTTTAATTTAGTCCTTGCACTTCAGAGAAAATCTGAACACCATATTATGTGTCAAGAATCCAAGAATTAGAAGTTGAAACTTGATTGATTTCGATTATATACATACCCGATGGCCCTGTAACGACCACCCGAATTCTCTAACATATAATCTAAGGGAAATATCAAAGTTTTATCTATAAGTGCAGAATTTTAAAATAGTTAAAACCTTTACTTCCCAAGTATAATCACAGGTTCACAATAAAAATCTACATACAAAATGAAACAACAAGGAAAATACATAAATAGCATTGTTGGGTATATATATGCCGCGTCATTGTGATTATTTATTTAGTCCATTTCTTAAATGGGTTGGGACTGTCCACCAGTCTTTTATTATTACGGTTATAGTATTTCAGGTGCATGTATGCACCGTATTTAAAAACTTTGGAAATAGTCTTGTAACCCTACACGCCTCTACAGTAGTAATTCTTCATCAAGTTCTTATGAGGTTGTGGCTTATAATTATTCAACATATTTTGATCTATTTGCCTTGTTCTTATTCTTTAATTGTTTGAATCTATTCGATATAATTAGGATTCAATCCTAACAATTGGTATCAGAGCCATCAGCGAGGGTTCAATTCTCCCTGGGAGCAATTTCTAGGGAGGGGGGAGGGATTGTTGGGGTCAGAAATGGCATTGACCAAGTCTTTTCACGATGGCTTGGAGTGTCACAATCGAATGCCTGATCCTGGAGGGCTGAATGCACTATATGGGTAAGGTTGTGCCCTTTCTAACACCAATTGGTTTTAGATCAACCGGTAGTGCTGATGCTTAACAAGTGGAATCTGAGTATGAGACTGTGTAATTTATACGCATCTCTTCTATTGAAAGAAGCTTTTACAGTTTCTGTTCTTATTGGATCTTGGTTCAGCCGTCATCATCATTTGTAAAACTGTTAACACTGATCTTGATCTTAATATTATCCTAATCTTGTTTACACATCTGGGTCATACAGGTTCTGTTCGATACACAAACATGTATTCAGAATCGATAAATCTCTCAAGCGGCATTAGATCCACAACCAGGATTCCGATCTTATTCCCCAACGAATATAAAAGTGTAGGCATTGCATTTTGAAGACTACGTCCTTGGGCTAGAAGATAATGGCTATCTGATCTGGGATGCCATCACTGTTAGGGAGTTTGTTCATACTGGAACAAGGTGAGTTATTAAAACTCAGGTTGACTATAACAAGCTTCTTCTTGAAGCGAAGGATGTTCCACAAGATGAGAAGGAAAAGTTAATCAACAACGTCAAGGCAATGAGTATTATTAGGTTTGCCCTACCACCAGATACCTTTCGTTTGGTTAGTTCATATGATACAACAAAAGGTATTTGGGATAGGCTTAAGGAAATGTACTCTACTGACGCTGATCTGGAGCATTCGACTCAAAATTTTTTGCTGTCAAAGTTTGGAGCTTTTGTGTAAAACCCTAAAGAAAGTTTAGATTATACCTTCAATCACTATAAACATCTCCTCAGCAGGATGATGAAACATAAGATTCGACGTGAACTTATTGAGAAAATTCATGTTCGTGAATGGTGTAAGGTCTGAATGGAAGGTTGTTGTGTCTACGGTTAAAGCACATGAGCAGTTTAAGAACTACAAGTTGGCTAAGCTTGTTGGTATCCTAAGGTCACATGAAGACGAAGTGATAAAAGAAGGGAAAATTGTTTCCGGAGTAGGCTCGCTGATAGTAGTAGCTAAGGGTAAGAAAGCTGCAGAAGATGATGATTCAGAGTTTGAGCTCTCCGATTGTGAACTTTCTAAATAAGAGTTCACAATGATGGTATCCAACCCAAAGAGGTTCGCAAAGAAGAACTTCAATAGGAACAAGAATTGAAACTGGTAGGGAAGCTACAACTTTGAGAAAGTAAAAGAGGAGAGTGAAAATAGTTCTCAGAAAGAAGAGGAAAAGAAGCGGAAGAAGTGTCACACCCCGCTAAAGCGGAAACGCAAGATATGAC